GCACCAGGTCGTCGACCACGATGGCTGGCGTGACGGCCCCAAACTGCGCGACCATCTCGTCGAGCGGCTGCAACAACATGAGCTGCATGAAGCCCGCCGCGAACGCGCCACCAGCGAGCACCGCCTGGAAGACCTGCAACTCCTGCGAGCAGCACCCGGCGAGGTGCAGCACCGTCGGCGCAGGGTACAGAGAGATCTGTAGCTTGGCCAGCCAGAGCGGGAAACCGAACTTGATGGCTGCCTGCACATGGCCCCGACGCGAGACCTGCTCGCATGCCTTCCAAAGGTCCAGCAGGATGCTGGCAGAGACCCAGTCTTGATTGGGGTGAAGTTCAGCTATCATCGCAATCCACTTTGACGTCGTCTGCTGCTGCCACACCGCTCTGTCACATGAGCGCCCTGAGCACGCCCACCAGTCGGGCCTGTCGCTGGCCTTCTCCCACTGCTGCATGATGGGCCCGCGGTGCCTGCCGTGAACTCTGACCACCGCTGCCAACAACGCAATGGGTCCAAGGCCTCCATCTGCCTTGGGAATGAAGGCCAAAACTGCGTGCTGCTCGATAGCCATCAGCAAATCAATGAGGGCCTCAATGCCTAGGTCATCCATCACATTGAAGTCACTTGGACGGATGCTGTCAAAACGGGGCCCAGACTGAGGCTTGAATGACGAGATCACTTTCCGCAGCTCAGCCACAGAAGGCCTGCCGGGGCGCTCTCCGAGGTCCCTAGGCTAAAGCAGACGGTGCCTTTCAGGGCCAGCTCCCTCGGGGTCTTCGCACCATGCACACCACCACTTGCTGCCTGGACTGGCAGGGCATGCTTCTGAATGGTGAGCGGCGCCACACAAACTGCGTCGGCTGTCTTCGCATTCAAAATATCAGCCGTCTTCGCGGCAGCATGGATGCCGCCTGAGCCTGTGGCAACAGAGTGCAGCACCCATTCGCTGTAGTCCTTGGGGGCTTGATCGAGATCCGCCCTGACCATTGCCTCGAACCAGCTGAGACACGCCGCTCCGAGCACCTCAAGTTGATCAAGGGAGAACTCCTGCGCGCCGCTGGCGGTGATGCTGACCACGCCCTGCAGCTCTGCGAGGTCGGACGGCGGCCTGCTAGCTAGCCTGCCAAGGGCACGCGGGGCTCCGAACCTGGTGAGCGGCCGCTCGATATGCGCTGCGTCTCGGGGACAGATAGCCACCGACCTGCAACAGGTCGAAGCTCGAGTGACGCGCGGCAGCCTGGGCAGCGACGGCGCCGTGGCTGAGGTGGCTGAAAGCCTGGGCCGTTCCGCGCGGCCTGACTACCTGTCGAGGTCGTGGATGGGCCCGCACGCGTCAATCATGCTGACCTCCGCCTGCGTGACGAACGCCTGCCACCTGTTGTCTAGGTGGGTCATGCGCTCGAGCTGGTCACGAAAGGCCCGCCAAGCTGGGCCATGATCCTGCGCGCAGCAAGCCAGCGGCCCGGGAAGAGGCAGCCGCTTGGCCGCGCGCACGACGGCGACCTTCTGGCGCCCGAGCAGCCCGAGCGCAACTGGACAGCGCGGGCCGAGGTCAAGCTCGCGGGCAACGCTGGCCTTTGCCCCGCGGAAAAGCCTCGGGCCCGCGAAGGAATCGACGATCCTGCCTGCAGGTCTGCACGCGGCCCCCGCGGGCGCGGCAAGGTCCGCCCGCGCCGACCCTAGCCAGCCAGATTTTGCCAAGACTGACGGATCCACGTTGAAGTCCCCGCACACGATGAAGGGCCCGTTGACCGCCTGCAGGGCCTTGAGCACCGCACGCGACGCCGCCTCTGCAGACGTCATTGAGGTGGGAGATGATGGCGCGACCAGGCCCCAGCACCGCCTGTTTGCCGCGCAGGTCGAACGGCCCGAGCCCGAGGTGCTGGGGCACCATCTGCACAAGGCCCCCAGCGCCCTGGGAGCCAAAACCAGCGTCGATCGCTGGCGCAGCCTCCGAGGCCCATCCGAGCCGTCGAAGCTGTCCATGAACGTCTCGAGTGCGCTGCGAAGCCACATGCGTCTCCTGAACGGCAACGAAGCCGCAGCACCTAGCAGTGGCTGTGCCAAGCAGGTTGGCAAACTTCGACCACGCATTGCAATTGACCGCGAGGCCAAACCACCGACGCCCCTGCATGTCCGCCGCCCCGGGCATGAAAGAGGAACGGTCGCCACCAATGGCCCCGCTGAGGCCGCCACCGCGGGGTCTTGGAGCGCTCGGCGGCCCTGAGCGCGCCCAGTGCCTCCTGGAGCCTCTTCCTCCCGTTCTCGTCCGCAGCCCAACCGAGAAGCCCGGCAGGATCCCCGCCCTCCATGAACATGTCGAACTCGTCGCTGCCTGGGTCTCCTGCCAGGGGGGCACCGGCCCCATCTGCGCCACCACTTGCGCCTGCACCAGGAGCGCCTGGACCTCCACCTGCGGCTGGCACAGCGCGGGCAGGCCCTGGCTCGGGATGTGGTGGGGCTGCGGCAGCAGCCATCTCGCGCAGAATCGTGGCGAGGCTGGCCAGGACCACAGCGCCCGACTTGCTCTCCGCGCCGATGGAGGCAACCTTGTCTATGACGGAGCGGAGCGTGTCCTCGGCCGTGGTGGACGAGTAGAGCTACGCCGCCTGCTTCTTGGCCTGCTCGAGCTCCGCCTTGCGCGGGCCCGATCCGCTTCTGCCGGCGCCTCCAGAGACTTGCGAGAGTTTTCCTAGAGGCGCTCACGCTTGGCTGTGGCGTCGGCGACGGCCACCGATGCTTGATCGACTGCCAGAGGGCGTTCCCGCGCCTCCGAGCCCAAGACACCAGCGGCTGCCTTTCAACGCGCCAGCTCGACCTCGTCTCGACTGCTGCGGGAAAGTCCGCCCTTGACGATCCCATGCGGCCCCATGGCCATGGCGGCGCAGGCTGCAATCTTCTCTGGCGAGAACGCGAGGGTCGCGGGAACAGCACGCCCTCCGACGTTAGGCCCGAGCCCTTTGCAACCACGCCCTTCGCCGCCGCCGCCCCTGGCCCCCTGCTTGGTCCAGGGAGTTCCGAGGTTGCCGCCGCCGACTGCCAACTTACCCCAAGGTGTTTGGTTGTCGTTCGCTGCTGGTGCATGGTGGTCCGTCTGCTTGCCCTTGCAGCCAGCCTTGATACAGAGAGCCAGAGGGTCCAAACTAACAGCGCGCACCGCACGCGCGGCCAGCACTTCGCCATGAGAGCCAGAGGGTCCAAACGAACAGACAGAGCCGAAACAAGACTGCGCACCCTCGGGCTGAGGGAGGCAGGTCACGACCAGGGGCGGACCTGGCACCACAAGAGGATGAATCGCAAGCCTGGGGGACAGAACTATCCCGCTTTCGCCTGGAGGTTTGCATCCTACCAAACATGGAGTCTTGAGCCAAAATGGATACGGAGCCTCTGGGGCCATCGGTGGAGCTCCCTATGAGGTCACGGACTGTGTGAGGGGTGCGCCGACATGAAGATGGAACCGCATGCGAACCATGCCGCTGGGGCCTTCGGTGGGGTTCCGCGTGGGCCACGAACTGCGCATGGGGCGCGCCGAGATGAGGGTGGAACTGCATGCGAACCCTGCCATTGAAGCATTCGGTGGAGCCTCCATATGGGGCCACGAACCGTGTGAGGGGTGCGCCGAAATGAGGATGGAACTGCGTGCGAACCGCGCCGTTGGGGCCTTCGGTGGAGCTCCCCGTGGGCCACGAGCCGTGTGAGGGGTGCGTCAAAATGAGATAGGAACTGCACGCGAACCCTGCCACTGGGGCATTCGGTGGAGTTCCCTACGAGGCCGCGAACTGTGCGAGGGCGTGCAGGAATCCGCGAGGAACGATGAGGATGATGGTGATGATGACGGCCGTAATGCTGATGACGATGGTCACTAAGATGACGGTGACGAGCTTGACGATGAAAATGAGAATGATGATGCTGCTGCTGATGACGATGATGGTGAAGATGTTGATGGCGATGATGATGATGCTGATGGCGGCGGGAGGGTGAGGAGGGAGGAGGAGGGGGAGGAGGCACGGGGAGGACAGGCCAAGGCGACGATGTTCTTATTCCTGCGTGGGCAGACCAGAGCATCGCAACAGCACTGCACTGAGAGACCTCGGACCCAGGCGCATTACATCCCAGCTTCAATTCACGGCTATGCAAGGTGGCAGGAGGGGAGCGGGAGGAGCCTAGAGCATCGGATAGAATCCAGCGGCCCGCCCAACCTTTCCGCGCCAAGAAGCGCGGGCACCGAGGCGGGCGCGGGGAGGACAGGCCAGGGTGACGATGTTCTTATTTCTGCGCGGGCAGACCAGAGCATCGCAACCGCACTGCACTGAGAGACCTCGGACCGGGGCGCACAACATCCCGAATTCCCTTACAAGAGTACTGGCAGAGCCGCATGCCCTTAGAATTCTGAAACACAAAACGGTGTTTTGAACAGGAGGCGCTGGGGCAGGCTAGACGATTAGCTGATTGAGGCGAACGGTCTCGATGGCGTTCGCCAATTCGAGGAGCCACCGAGCAGCGGCAGCAGCATATTTGACTGGGTAGGCTTCGGCAGCGGCCGTCAACTGGCCGAAATGGCCCGTCGTCCTTTCCAGGACGACGCGCCGCCGGCCAGCGCGCGAGCAGATCCCGCGTTCCCCCCCGCAAGTCCGAAGGGGGTCGGCGGGCAGAGAGATCACATTCCAGCCGGCGAGGCGTGTCCTTTTCCTCCAAGGTTTACCGAATTGGCAGAAATCACATACTGTGGCGGTGCAGCTACTGAGGCACATCAGGGTGGCGAGACTGGGTTCCAGCCAGGCCATGCTGGTATAAGGGTTCTCGACGATAGCAGGCACCCCCGCGCGCACGGCAGCTCGGACGAGGCGCACTGCAGGAAGGAGGGTGCGATTCCCATAGAGACAACTGCGGAGACCAACTGGGTCGAGGTCGGGCCAGCCGTGGATGCAGGATGCTGAGCGATAGCGGCCAAGGCTGGCTCTCGACCAGGTGCTACACGGGAATGCAATGAAAAGGCCGCGGACATGCCGCGACCCGATCCAGCCACACAGCGTCCTACAGACAGCTGTGCAACTGAAGTCGAAAGCAGGGTTGCGGTTCAAATCCAGTCGTAGGACGTTGTGCGCAGAGTGCCGGCGGAGCCATCTGCCGACGGCGCCGGCCCCCGCAAAAAGGTCGAGGTAGGCCATGGCGCGAGAGGGGCCCTGCTGCAGAACATGTCGCAAAGCATCGGAGACAGCGGCCGACCTGCTGCGGCCCGAGCCCGCGCCTTCGCGCAGGCCAACGGTGTCTCCAGCGCGTCAGACGGCACAGCTCCTCAGGCCGCCCGCCTTGCCCGTGGGGGCGGCGGCGCGCCTCGCAGGTAGCACGCGAGGAGCTGCTCCCCCGCGCCCTTGGCGCACTGCATCAGGGGGGCTCGAGCCGCGACCACTCGGCGAGGTAGCGCGTGTGCCGCCGGTACCTCCGCGTGCTGGTGGCCTGCAAGTGCCTCAGCCTCTCCTGAATTTGGACGGGTGCGAGCTCGCCCACCAGCGCGGCGTGGAACGCCGCGCCGTGCCGCAGCTGGTAGGGCTTCATGTGGTCTAGGTTGGCGAGGGAGGCGCGCCGTGCGAACAGCTTCCGGAACTCGGCTGAGTCGAAGCTCCACAGGCGCCTGGACGGCGTCGACCCCCTCGAGTGCGTGCAGGGACGCGTCCAGCAGGCTGGTCTCTCGCCCTCTGAGCAGCATCCCCTCGTCGAAGTGGCCGACCTTGCTCGGCCGCGAGGCCTCGGACGGGAAGAGCAGCAGCCCCCGCGCCAGGACGCCGGCGGAAGGGCTGGGAGCGACCAGGCTGCCCCCCACCATCTCCACGATGTCGGTCGGCAGCCGCAGGAACCCGCCCCACGCGATCGCGAGGGCGAGCGCGAACTCCTTCAGGCGGAGGCGCAGCCAGCGGTCGGCGCGCCCCGCCAGGCGCTCGGCGGCGGAAGCCGCTATAGCGCGGCCCGCGCGCGCACGAAGCCGCGAGGACCGTTGAGCTCGCACTCGGGCCGGTAGTAGCGTAGGGCCGCGACGGTCTTCTGGCCGCGCGACTGGCTGAAGCCCCCGAAGTACAGCATGTCGAGGTACTTGGCGAGCGCCATGTCGAGCTCGCCCGTCGTCCGAATGGCACAGCCCTGGCGGCGGGCCCACTCCAAGAAGGCCCGGTGGAGCGAGGCATGCGTCCGAGCCGCCTGCCAGTCGGACACCCTCGCGGCATCCAGGAAGGTCGCGCCCGGCGGCCGCGTCGGCCGCCGCCCAGCCGCCGCCCGGCGGCGCCGCGCCCGCCCCTGCGTCTGCCTCTCCGCGGCCGCGAGGTTGGACGTGGTGCCCCCCTGCGCCCGCGCATTCAGCAAGCTCAACTGGCTCGTCGTCAGAGTCCGAGTCCTCCCAGCTGAGGGCAGCGTCCGCACCGCCGGCGGTGGCCGATGCGGAGCCTCGGGGGCCGCCCGGCGTAGGGTCCGCGAGGAAGCAGTCCCCAAGCCCACCCAGCCCGTGGATGTCGCCGACCTCGTCCCTGACGAGCTCGTCGACGGCCTGGTCTCGGCGCTCGGCAGCCCAGCGGGCGGCCGTCTCAGCATCGTACCAGGCGCTGCGCGGGTCGCGGCGGGCGTCGTTGGTGATCGCGGGCTTGAGCCGAGACGGCCTGTCGGACGGATTGAGCTCTGAGGCAATCCATCCCACTGTCACAACCAAGTTTCCCAAGAGGCTGAGTGCAAGCATCTCTCTGCAGGTGCGCATGAGGTGAGGCGAGGAGGACCTTCCTTTGCCGAGCGCAAGCACGACGGACAAGTTATCGCACAGTATGACGAGGCGGTGGCACTGAGCCGAGACCCGCCTCAAGCGGTGCCTCACCGCCAGGATGACAGCACGGCCCTCTGCCCTCATGATGTTGTCCTGGATACGCCACCTGCCCTTCACTTTCAGGCCCCAGTCGTCGAAGGCGCCGATGTCCGCGGCCGTCGCCGCCGGGAAGTCGGAGCCCCCCTTCCTGGCGACGCGGCTGCCGCACGCCTTCGGGGCCTCCGCGCCCAGCATGTGGCACCGAGCGGCGATGGCGTCCATGACGTTACGCCTCCAGGCCTTGGCCTGGCACGCCAGGCGCTGGACCACGTCCGCCTCGCTGCCCCGGCCCATGACGCCGCGCCCGCCGGCGTCAACGCCCGAGCTCCCCGAGGCGTCGGCGGCGTAGATGTCCGACGCCAGGGGCCTCTTGGGGTCCACGAAGCAGAAGCAGACCAGGGAGGCCGCCCGACGCAGCTCGAGCTCGACGCTGGGCCACATCCGCCACTGGCGGCTGCCGGCGCGGTCGGCGAAGCGGTAGACGCTGTCGAAGATCGCCAGCAGCTCGCGGCGCACCAGGGCCGCCCACGTGAAGTGGCCCACCAGGCGGCGCAAGCCGCCCCCCGCGATGCGCCGCTGGTCGGCCGCGCACAGCAGACCGAGCCGAAGCCGCCAGAGCCGCTCGCGGCCCAGGGAGATCTTGCCCGACTCCACGTCGACGTTGAGGCCTGTGAACTTCTGCAAGCCCCCCGAGCACCCCACGCCCTTGCAAATCAGCCCGTGATCCTGCAGGCAGCGCGTCACGTCCTGGCCGCGCTGGTCGACCACGGTGGAGTCCGTGTCGAGGATCGCCACGCCGTCGACGTACACGGCGGCAACCTCCCCCGAGCCGACGTCCGGGGTGGCGTGACGGTCCCTCACGAGGCGGCTGTCGGGGAACCCCGACCTCCGCACGGCGGTCTCCACCATGGCCTGGCAGAAGTACAGGCCCCACGTCCACCCCATCGGCAGCACGCGGAGGAAGCCCGAGATCTTGCCCCCCTCCTGGAGCACGAACCCCGGGCGCGCCGCCAGCAGGGCACGCCGGCTGACCGCCGGCAAGACGAAGCGCCGGCTCAGCCCAGGCGGCGACAGGATCCTGTAGAACGCGTTTTCAACGTCAGCGTGAGCCCGTTCCAGGCACCCGCGGTGGGGAGCTGCGCGCAACCCGGGTCGGCGAACTCCTGATTCACCGCCCTGGTGTCGAATATCAAGGGCTGCCGCACTTTGTCGGGCTTCAGCACGGAGAACATCCCAACTGTGGCCGACTGCTCCGGCCCGAAGTACAGCGAGGAATCGTAGAGGTCGAGCAAGAAAGAAGCTATAGGGAGGACTGCGATCGAACCAACTTCGGATCATTGTAAGGCTGGGCCCGCTCCCCCTGCATGTCTGAAATCGGGCGCATCAGCCAGTCTTTCCAACCCGTCCATTCATCGCGCGCAACTCCCTCCAAGAGCGATAAGCCGTCGCAGAGGGCGTGGCCCCCGCGGGCGGGCGAGACAAGGCCCCGCTGGAAGGGCGCGCGAATCTCCGGCATCTGGGCGTAGCCGGGAGCGCGCCCGCACAGCTCAGTGAAGGCTGCCGCGGGGGCGATGCAGGGCGGACCGACGGACGAGATCACGTCCTTCACGCTCTGCACGCCGGCCCCCTGCGCACTTAACAAATACTGGTCGCCCTGTGGCGCGCCATGTGAGTAGAGGCCGTTCAGCGCCTCGTGGACCTCGCACCCCCAGTCGCAGGCGCACTCGGCCTGCCGGTGTCTCGAGCGCACGGCGCGGCAGCAACGGGCGGCCCTCGCTGCGCGCCCGCCGTCTCCAGGAGCTCCCACCGGCAAGAGCTCCCGAGCAGTACTCATCATTTGCCCCCGCGCTCGCGGTCGCCGCCTTTGCCGCCGTCGAGCTCTGCGTCGCCCGCCCGGTCGCCAAGGCGCGCCTGGAGGCGCTTGATCTCGTCCGCTTGGTTCTTGATCTTGCTCTCCAGCGCGGCGGGTGCCCCGCCGCTGCCAAGGGCGCCGCCGCCGGGGCCGCGCGCGGTGGCCCTCTCCTCCCGCAGCTTGCGCCGCTCCTTGAGGATGGCCGCCTCCTTGTGGAGCTCCTCCGCGATGTGGCGCTGCAGCTCGGGGGCCACCATGAGACGCCCACGCGTCTGCGCCGCCCCCATGTCGAGGTGCTCATCCTCCACCGCGTCGGCCTCCGAGCCCCCGCCCGCCACCAGGCGGCGGCGTCTCCACTCCGCCATCTGGGCCCGCCGGGCGAGGTACTCGAAGCAGGCCAGCTCCGACGCCATGAGCTGGTCGCACACCACCGCCACCTCGAACGTCCTCATCGCCAGCCCGTGGTCGGACACGCCGGCGTCGCCGCTCTGGAGGCGGCGCTCTGCCTTCCATTTGGCGTGGCGGGCTCTCGGGTGCATGTCCTGCTCCCCGAGGAACTCCAGGCGCCACTTGACCGTCCGCGGTCCGCGGACGAGCCAGTGGCTCTACTGCGACTCCTGTAGCAGCTTCACCGCGTCACGGAAGACCCGCCTCCGCTCGCTGGAGTAAATCCCCAGCACGGGCATCGCTCTAGCGTCCAGGTTAGCCCCTCCCTCTGAGGCCGTCTTCTTGTCGACCGCGCGGAAGAGGAAGATGCGCACCCCCACCTTGGCGACCCCAACGTCGCCGATGGTGGCCCAGCTGTCGACACGGCAGTCCTCCAGCGTCTGCGGGCCCAGGGCGCCGTCCGACATGCAGATCACCTGCCAGACAAACGGGGCGGGGTTCTCGAGCATGCCCGCTCCGACCTCGACCTCAGCACCCGCTGGTCGACCCCGAGTGGCTGAAGAGTCCGTCGCCACTGTCAGAGCCTTCACCCCGCCCGCTGCCATCGGCTTCTTCCCAGTCATGCGGTGGGCGGGGGCTGAGCCGTCGGAGTCGCCCATCACGGCGAAGCGAATGGCCCGGCTGAACTCGAGTGGCGTGGGCGCCCAGTCCTCCCCGTAGGTCCTCGAGCGCCGGGACCATCGCCTGCCTTCGCCGAGGGTCGGGTCGAAGCGGTCCGTCGAATCGGCGAGGCAAAGACCGCCCAGAGAAGGGGCTGCGAGGAGATGAAGGTACGTGTCGCCGTCGGGGCTGAGGGCGTACCAGATCCTGCTCTTCATCTCGGGATCGTCGATGGCGGTGATGCCCATCACCTCTTCGAAGTCGCCCGCCGTCGCGGGCGTGAGCAGCACCCTCACCTGCCAGTCCTCTCCGTCGTTCCAGAGCACGCAGATCCGCCGCCCTGTCTCGAGCCCGCTGAGCACACGGGCTGCCATCGATGGCAGCACAACTGAAACCCAGGATGAAACCGACGCCGCCGATTGCCACCACCAGCCCAGGCGGGCCTCCCGTCAGGTTGGCAGCGAACGCACGCTGGCCAGCAGCGCCCAGCACGGGCCCTATCGCGCCCCACTGCGAGGCGGCCCAGGAGGCAAGACTCACAATCGTGAAAAAGGGCATGCGCTCTGCCGCTGATTTGAGCCTAGAGCATCGGATAGAATCCAGCGGCCCGCCCAACCTTTCCGTGCCAAGAAGTGCGGGCACCGAGGTAGGAGGGAGGAGCGGGAGGAGGTGGAGGAGGAGAGAGGAGAGGAGAGGAGAGGAGAGGAAAGGAGAGGAGAGGACGGGAGAGGAGAGGAGAGGAGAGGAGAGGAGAGGAGAGGAGAGGAAGGAGACGCGGGACGCTGTCTCTGCAAAACGAGGACCCAAATAACCACAGGATGGTTGGGAATACATGCAGCGCCCGAGACACGGAAGGACAGGTAGGCGGTGCGACCTCCCTCGCTGCGGTTGCTCGTCCTGTCGCCTGGCCCGAACGACGCCCGCCTCCTCCACCCCGTGTCATTAAAATACCTGTTCCCTGTCGCACCATCAGACGTGTCAGTAGGGCGGGATAGGCGTTTGGTCAGGAACGTCATCACCACTTATGGCCCTGAGACTGGAACAACGTGCGACAAATTCACAAGTGAAAAGCGGCCCGTGGCCAACATGCGTTTTCTCGCATAAACGCCACGCACACTCGCCGTAAAACGTTGCAGCCGCTCCAAAGGTCGAGGGCGGCCACTTGTTGAAAATGTTCGTATCGCCTTTTCGCCGCGCTCATTCGTCTTAAAGCTTGCAGCAGCGTCAAGGACGGAAGGCGGTCCGTTTTGAAAATATGTTTCTCGCCCTAGCGCCGCGCGCATTCGTCTTGAAGTTCACAGCAGTTTCAGGGACTGGCGGCGGTGCCTTTTGAACATGGTGATTTCGCCTCAGCGGCACGACATGAGGGATTCGTCTAGGTTGAGATCCCAGACATTGTGTTCTCGCACGGCGAATGGATGAAATGACGCAACAGTCACGCGGCGTCGCTGCGTTATAAGTCCCAGGAAAGATTTGTGGGCACGCTTGAAATTTGACAGGCGATGGCATGGTGCTGGTGTTTCGGCGCGACTGGTGGGTACAAGCAGGTTATCATACAATGAGGTATTTCCCGAAATGGACGGGTCGTGTGGGGACCTATGAAGAGGGAGCTTGGGAGGGGGTTTACTGCACCATCGTTGATACGTCTTGGGTTTACACTGTTCCTCCTCCTCCACCTCATCCGCCTCCTGACGCCTGCCTCCACCTCTCCTCAACACAAAAGCCCCATATCCTCCCCCATCCCCCGCCTCCTAGCCCTCTCCCATCCCCATCCCCATCCCCCATCCCCCATCTCCCATCTCCTCCTCCTCCTCCTCCTCCATCTCCTCCTCCTCCTCCTCCTCCTCCTCCTCCTCATCATCATCATCATCATCATCAGCATCATCATCATCAGCAGCATCATCAGAATCAGCACCACCATCATCAGCATCATCCTTCTCATCCTCATCAACATCATCATTAGCATCAGCAGCATCATCAGCAGCATCAGCCTGATCCTCATAATCATCGTCGTCATCACCATCATCGCAACATCGGAATCATCATCATCAGCATCATCAGCATCATCGGCATCATCCGCATCATCATCATCACCATCATCGTCATCGGCAGCAGCAGCACTATCATCAGCAGCATCAGCACCAGCAGCAGCATCAGCATCACCAGCGTCATAATCATCATCATCATCATCATCATCATCATCATCATCATCATCATCATCATCATCATCATCAGCATCAGCATCAGCATCAGCATCAGCATCAGCATCATCAACGTCATCATCATCGTCATCGTCACCGTCATTGTCATCAGTAGCAGTATCATCGTCATCATCACCACCATCATCACCTCCGCTACCACGATCAACATGATCAACCGCCGCCGTGCAGCTGGGTACAGAATGGGCGTGCCCTCAGGTCCTTCGCCTAATCCTAATCCTCTGAGCCTCAGTCCTCACTCCTGAGGGGTCTTCAAGTGGCCTGGACCCCGAATTGCCAAATCGTCTTGGGCTTGGCGCCGGCCCTCTGGGCCCCCAGCGGCTTGTCGCGTGACTTGTTCGGGCCCGAGAGGGCCCCAACACGGGCCAAGAGGGCCGCAAGAGAGGCACCCAAGATGGTCCAAGAGGGCTTCGAGACGCCTGAAGATCACTTCAATACGCCCCAAATGGCTCCAAGACGGCCCAAGGGGCCTCCAAGACGCCCGAGGAGGTGTCCAAGAGGCCTCTCAAGAGGGCCCAAAGAGGCCTAAATCATCGATGTGTCTTAGGTGTTTGAAGGCGGTTGGCATTCCCGCCTTGTCGGTTTCGCGGCGCTCCCAGGCGGCCCTAGAGGCCCCCAAGGACACCCAACGAGGCATGAGGCCATCAAGAAGCCCCAAAACGGCCAAGGAGGGCATCAAGGCGGCCCAAGAGGCCCCAAAGACAGCTCCAAGAGGGGGGCCCAGACGGGGGACCCGAAAGAATAGTGGCCCCAAGAGGCCCCCAAAACTGACTCCAAGAGGACCCCAAAACTGACCCCCAGTCGACAATCAGCATCAGCATCACCCGATCATCATCAGCATCATCCTGATCAGCATTAAAATGATACATCGAATAGTAATGGTAGCAGTAAGAACAACGATGCTGATAATACGTAGCATGGTAATAAGGATACGAATAACCGTAACAACACAAATAATACGAACGATACACAAATAACATTACTAATAACAACAACAGTAAGGAACAAATTATACTAAACAATGATAGTCAATGGCAGTGAAAGACAATGGAACTAACGGTACCACTGATAAGGATAAACATACGACTAGTCACAACAATGAGATAACAGCAATACTCAGAACCAGAATACTAGCAATCATGAGCATAATCAGCATCATCATCCATCATCAACAGCATC